GATAATTTAAACATAAAAATTAGAAATAATCTTCGTTATCGTTATATCGAGGTTCGTTATATTGAGGTTATACTGTATTTAGGTAACCAGACTTGAGTAGTTCTCAAAGTATCAGCCACCCTCCTTATATAGAAGAACCAATATATGATGGTCAAACTCAATGTACAGAGCAAACTTTAAATTCTTGCATAGCCATAAGAACTGGGTATATGGCAAGCAATTTTATAAAAGAAACTCAAAAAGTCTTAGCTTTCAATTAATCAAACCCTGCCAAGACTTCCTTTTCAAATATCTTTATCACAACATCTAAAAAACATACTATTCTATCTATTTTTATAAACACCTCTTTACCTATATCAAATCTTTCTAAAAACTCTACTTTTAAAGACTCAGATAATGACAATATATCTTCAACTATGAATACTATATTAGGCAAACCTAACAATCCTCCTCTTTCTAGCCTACTTGATCTCTATAACCCTATTACATGTTATAACAAATTCTTATTCTACTATAAACTCCAACTTCTACCTTTTCCTCAAATACGTACCTCTTTTATACAGTTTTTAAAATCAAACTATCCAACATTTTTATCTAAACAATATATTAAAATCTCTATCCAAACAAAAACTATACATGATTCCAAGAAAGCTCATATATACTTACTACATAAAACCTCTTTACAACCTAATCACTCATTACTTCTCTTTAAAAACTTTATCAATTTTTCAAATATTCCTCTTAAATCTGACTATCTATCTACAAATATACTATCTTTACAAATTTATAAATCATTATTAAACCAACTTTTTGTCTCAATATCAGCTTCCTCTCTCTCTTTTCAACCAGAATATCTATTTATTCCTATCAAAATTGGCTTCTTAAATATCAATAGTCTTTACTAATCAAACAAAAAACTTCCACTTTTTGATATACTTAATAGTAACTTCTTTGATATTTTAGATCTCTTAGAGAAAACACATCTTTTTTCTAAAGAAGGAAACTTTTTTAAAAACCAAATACTAAACTTTAATAGCTTCTGGAGTTCTTTTACATAGCACACCAGACCAGTGTCTGTATCTTTATTTACTATTGAATTTCTAAATATATAGCATGCACCTACAACTACAAAGGCCATATATTGGTCTAGATCTATATTTTAAAAACCAACTAATCTGTCTACTTCAAATCTATATTTCCACTTATGAGAAAAAACAACTTTATAAAGAAATTCAAGAACAAATAATTCTACTCACACAAAATTTAAACTACAAAATCATAATTATAAGAGATCTTAATAGTGTTCCCAATCCAAGATTAGACTGTTCTTCTTCAAAAAAATCTCTATACCCGAACTTCAACTTATTAAATATCTAAAAAGTCAACAATTTAAGAATAATTATCATTTTTTCTTCTCCAATATATTAAACTTTACCTTTCAGCACTCTAATATACAGAGTAGAATTGATCAAATTTGGACAAATCTCTTAATCACTAATATTGAATATACAGATATAATCCCAAATAGCCAAATTGAATCTGATCACCACATTATCACTCTTGAACTATTAATTATTTTAAACAAACCCAAACCCCAAAAACAAAAAAAATATAAACTCTTTCTATAAAAAAATTGTAGTTGTATATCAGAATCCCGACACACAAAATCTCAACACACAAAATCCTGGCAACAAAATCCCAATACACAAAATCCTGACAAATTAAATTCCTAATTTTAATATTTTTAGAATTTTAATTTGTGGGATTTTGTATATCAGGATTTTGTTGCCGGGATTTTGTATATTGGGATTTTGTGTGTCGGGATTCTGATATACAACCTTAGGCTGCAAATAAGTATTTAGTTTACTTGGATATACTGTATGTCTGAGTTCTTTTTCTTAATTTAAGTTTGAAAGACAAAACCTTTTCTTGACTATGTAAGAAGGTTTAATTAGATTTAATAAAGATAAGAGCAAGGTCTCACCTTTGACATTAAAAAACAATTAATGCACTTTATTAATTTAATCTAATTAAAAAAAACAAACTAAAAACACGTTACTCTGGGTATATCGAAAATTTTTTTTTTCATTAGTAAAAAAAAATTCAAAATGTCAATACGGTGAGCTATACCGACATTTTTTTTACTTTAAAATTTTGAAAAAAATGTTGATACAGCAAGATTTAACTATGATATCGTTATTCGTTAGAACCAGAGCGACGTGTATCTTGTTTTTTAAAATTCTTTTAAAACAAATATTTTTAACTATAAAATTCTAAAATATATAGCATTAAATTTCAGTTAGGATTAAATGTTGGTAGTATTAGAATAACCATATAAAATTTTAAAATTTCCAGAATATTATTGGGTCTAAACTATTGTAATCTAAATTGCATATTAAGCCTCCCGTCCTAATCAGCTTTAAAGTTGTCATTCCCAATATCGGACTTATTATGTGCAAATATATATGATCAGGCTTTTCTTTTTTTATTAACAAGGTAATGACAACTTATGAGGCATGATCGTAATTGCACGATAGCGAATCATGCAAAATTAATACCATGAAATCTATTCCATTGCGTAGCGCACAATACACCATTTAATATGATAATTATCCTAAAAGAAATATTATTTTCACATGGAGCAGTTAGGTGTAAAAACATTTAAGACTTTCACATTTCAATCAAATAGAAAGTCGAATTTATTCAATGAGCGTTACATTATTCATCGCTTTCCCTCTTGGAGACTAAATAGCCTCTTTTCATGAAAGAAATTCATCAAATATGGTAATCATAACTTACGAGAAGCTCAAACCCTCCTCTTCTCGGGTGCTTTCTATTAATTTTTAATTTTATATTAGATTAATAATTAACATGCGTAGATAAATAGCACATAAATTTACATACAGCCAAAATGTCACTGAATTCTTGATATGGTGACTGTTTAAACTCAACATCTTTCCACCGATCGGGAGTCAGGAAGGCGTAGGTATTACCAATGGCGGCGAAAGTAGCCTTAACAAAATTACCTAATGTACGAGTAGATCCGCGTGATGTGGTATAACAATCCGTAATACCTGCCAATTGCAAAAGCTTCTTAGGAGTAGGTGCAGCCACAATACCAGTACCACGAGGTGCGGGAACAAGACGGCATATAACGGAGCCACATCTACCAGTAACCTTGGAAGGAACTGTGTGCGGATCACCAATTAAAGAACCCCAGTATCCACGTCGAACTGGGATGACAGAAAGCTTAGCAAGAATGATAGCACCACGGATAGCGGTGGCGACTTCTTTTGAGCACTTTACACCAAGACCAACATGTCCATTGGAATCACCAATAACAACAAAAGCCTGCATATAATATTGTTAAATATGCGCAGAACAATAAATAATGCTAAGAAACATCCATAATTAATTTTCGAAACTACAATAACCTTGAATCGAGTTCGTTGACCAGCACGGGTCTGCTTTTGAACAGGCATTATCTTCATGACCTCATCTTTTAAAGAGGAACCAAAGAAGCGGTCTACTATCTGAAATTCCTTAATTGGAAGCGAAAATAAATAAATTTGTTCAATATTTTTAATTTTCCCTTCTTTGACCAGACGACCAAGTTTGGTAACAGGGATCCTAAGATGCGGTTTATTAATTTATATGTGAATACTTGGTTTCACCTATCGAGTTAGTCTATTATATATTCAAATCATCACTTTTGATTACCATTCTTTGTCGTCGTCCTTACGAGCACCTCGACGAAAACCGCGACCGCGACCCCGTCCTCGGCCTCTATCACCACGACCACGTCCGAAACCACCACGTCCTATAATAAAAATTTTTACTCAATGACTCAACGTAGAAAATCAAAAACAGTCGGCTTTTTAGGATATTAAGCGAAACAATTCGAAGCCGATCTCGATATGAAGTTTAAACGTGTTCCTTCACGGTTCGAGTTTAAAAGACTTACCACCACGACTATCGGCCGTTCCTGAATCAGCCATGTGCTTTGGATTTCAAGATAAGGATATACGAATATTGATAAAGATATACGGTTAGGAACACCCGAAAAAAATATATGTATAATTTAAGTACTGTATAATATCATAATGCCAAATGCCAAATAGAACTAGAGTTAAAAATTGAGCAAAGTTCAATATTATCTGAAAAGAAAAATGATTGAACATGAAGATGAGAATAGTTGGGACAAAAATTTGAATAAATATCTGATATTTTCTGAAATAATAAATTTATAACTAAATTTTATTGATAAAAACATAAATAAATTTCTGAGAACATTAAACTTGTTCTTATGAGAACATAAATCTCGAAACACAGTATTTTACAAGCCAATTTTGATGTTAGAATCGTCTTGGTAGTGTTTTGATCTGGGGGACTAACTTTATATAGAAATAGAAGTAGGCTTACTTGATACAAAAATCTTTAATTAATTTTTAAAATTAAATCTGAAGATAAACACTCTTATAACAAAAAAAAGATACTTAATTTTGGGATAATATATGTGTTACTAAAAGAAAACCCAACAATTTAAATATAAATTATATATACAGTAAATTGTCAGTTTTTCTTTTAGTAATACTTATATCTATAAATTTTTAATTAATAATAGTGTAGCAAACTGTGTGACAATAGTGTGGCATTAGTCATCTCATCACTATCTGGCTTTAGCATATCCTAGAGTAATTCAAGTAGTGGCTAGTAATAAAATACAAGCCACTATTACTGTGGCTTGTGAGCTATTATAAATAGGGTCTGCAAACTAGGCTCGTGCCTGTGCCTGATAAAAGGCACAGGCATGGGCATAGGCATGAAGATTTAGACATGGGCATGGGCATAAGAATTTGCCATGGGCATGAGCATAGGCACAAAAATTTGGCATAGGCATGGGTATAGGCACAAAGATTTGGTATGGGCATGGGAACAGGCACAAAATTTTAATATTTATTAATTAATTTTGCCTGGCACTTTGACTGGCACTTGTGTCTGGTACCTTTTGGCACCTTTTTGTCTAGCATATTGTGCCATGCCATAATAGTGCCTGGCATATTGTGCTCATGCCTATAAAATGCCTGGCATTTGTGCCCATGCCCACAATAATGCCTGGCATTTTTGTGCCTAAGGCATGGGCACGGTATGAGGCACTAGTATATGGCCTGGTGCCAATGTGCCCGGCATGCCCACTTGCAGACCCTAGGTTATAAACCATCTCCGCTGTGGCTTGTGGTCTAATCTAAGCCACCGCCACTGTGGCTTGTGGTCACGTGACTACCGGCTTTAGACGGTCCCTGGGGCAAAACATTCGTTTTTGATACACCTGCACCTACTTTTTTGATACTGATCGACATGCAGATCCCGGCAAAAAATAAAAATTTTAAAAACTTTGAGCGAAGA